TGATATGGTCAGATATTGCTATCACCGCTGCGTAAGTCCCGATGACACTGAAAAACTGTTTTGCTTATTCAAGCAGTGGCTTTGAAATCCTTTTATAAAATTCAGTTTACTAAGCACAAACATCATTTCGTGTTTTTGAATCATCTTCCTGGCGTCAATTCTTGTGAATAGTCACTGTCAGGGGGCTTTCAACAATGGTTTGCTTATTTTGGATCAGCAAACCAACGACTACACGAAGCTGACGCCAATTAATCGTCAGATTCGACATCCAGGATGGTCCATAAGTCGACAAAATCTCAATTACGATGTTCTAGTAATGCGATTAGCAACACCACTTTCAAATCTTGATGTCGCAAAACCTATAAATATCAACACTAAGTCTTACTACCCGTCGGAAAAGCAGCAGTTGAAAGCATACGGGTTTGGTCTAACGGAAAATCAAAGTGTCTCGAATCATCTGCGAGAAGCAGATGTCACTTATATCAGTAACGATGAATGCTTTGGGAGGGGGATTAATTTTAACAATGTGTTGAATAGCAACGAAGTCATGTGCACGGATCCATTTGCTGGAAAGACTGCCACTTGTTTGGGAGATAGTGGTGGCCCACTGACTGATGCATCTGGCACTACCTTGATTGGAGTCATATCGTTTGGTTCAGGTTGCGAAGCCGATTTAATCCCTGATGGGCATGTTCGACTATCACAGGTTTCTGAGTGGGTTCAAGATCAAATTTGTTTGCTGTCGGCAAATCGTCCCGCCTCGTGCGGCCCAAGTGCTGAATACCGTGATCCCCAAGCCTTCGAAGTTGTCGTTGACTTTACTCACGATTTCTATCCCGAGCATACAACGTTTGCCGTTCGATCCAAAAGCTCGCAAAAAACTGTCTACGCAGGGCCAGAATACATTCCAACTCGCAATGGAAACCACAAAGAATCAATCTTTTTGGTTCCCGGAGAATATACCTTTGAGGTTTACGATCTTGAGGGCAACGGTCTTCTCTCCGAAAGGGGGAATGGACTTTGGAAGATATCAGTTCTGTTTGATGGATGTACCGAAACCGAAGTAGCCAGTGGAGGGCCTTCTTTCAAGAACGAACAAGGAACAAAATTTGTTATTTCTGCTGATAAGGCGACACATAATAGCAGATGCATAAGCAAGAATGATGAAATTGCAATTGAAATGAACGAATGCTTGACCAAGAAGCAAGCAGAATTGAGTGCCGGTGTCGCATTCTCGACAAGCTGCAAATGTGCACCAGATGAGGCAACCGGTAAAATAGAACTCGCATGTTTCAATAAGCTTGGTAATTCATGCTCTGTCAACTACGAAACCTGCACAGACCCAACAGATTGCTGTAGTGGGCGTAGGTGTATTGATGGGAAGTGCCGATCGGGTCCTCCGACAACATCAAGTAGAGACAGCAGCAGAATTGGTGGCAAAAGCGTCGGGGGCGCTGCAGGTAGAGCAGGGCGAAATAACGGGAATCTCCGTCGAGGATGAGTAAACAAGAATCCAAACAAGGTTGACAAAAACATATACTATTGTTTTGAAACGGTAGTAATTAATTTAGAGTGATAGAGACATCTCATGAAAAATTTGGGGTTCGCTAGTATTCAGCAAAAGAATATACGGTAATCGGTGTTAGTAATGATAATTATTTCACAATGAATTGATTTTGTCGCAATCTATTTTTGGCCAAACAATCATTTTGAGGCGTAATGCATCTTGTGGGATGGCAGCAGTTCCATCATGCGACTTGAGTTTCGATATACTTCTCTGTGGTGATATCGAAAACTTACGAGGGATAGATCGTTTGGCAAAAGTGCCAAGAAACAGTTCTCGCAAAGTTGTTGATACTTCCATGCTTCCACCACTGCCACACTAATAGGCCAGGAGTCTTCAGTGCTTCTGGTAGCTGACAGTGTTCAATACAACAATAATTGACCACTTCTTAAAGCATTGTTAAGCTTTAAGAACAGGAATGAGTATTTCCTTGCTGTCTACAGTAAATTCATTCCAGAACAACAATACAGTCTGCCCAATGCTTAAGGTAGAATGTGCCATATTCATGCCCTATGATCAATCTACATCAAGTCTCTATACAAAAAGTCTTCAATGTCAGTTCTGCTTGTTCAAAATAAAAATATGAAAGAAAATTTATGATCTTAGGTATTGTTATAATCTAACATTAATTATGATTGGGTCAATTCATCAATTTTGCTTTTGAGTGATTCCTCAGTTGATTACTTGCATGTCTGGTTCAAAAGATGCAGTCATCAGCAGGTGACTTCTGAGTTATCTCCTTTTGTAGTAGAAGACCTTTTGAACACAGAATTGGAAGAGGTCTGTAAAAATTAAGACTGAATTGAGGAGATAGAATCTTAACCACCAAGAAATAAAAAGGGCGCACTCCACAAAATACTATGGGAAAGAAAACAACAGCACCTGCAGGAGACACAAACATACAATGGCACTGTTATAAGAAAAGTAAAGGATGTTCTGTAAAACAGTCTTTGTTTTTTTAGTACTAGTAGTTCTGCCTGTTGCTGTTGATGAGAAAAAAAATAATCCTTTTACTCAGCATTGGAAGGGGATGCCCCTGAAAATAGCACTTCTCCTGCAGATTGGTATATAATTTCCTTTTATACTAGTAGTATTGGTAGTAGTGCATTCATTGGACTTGGAAATTGGATAATAATGGTGTTTTCAATCATCTTTTCCTTGAGTGGAATACTTAGTAGATCATCCTTCTCATAGAGCTTTTGGAGGTATCTTGGCATGGTTTTGATGACAGCACTGTCTTTATTGAACTGGTGTCCCTTTTCTTTACTCTGCTGTATTGCAACAAGACAAGAGACCTTCTTGAACCACTTGTGGCATCAAAATGTAAACTGATTGAGCCATTCTGGATCAATTAGATTTGGATTGATTCTATTATACATAATCACCCTGATCATGGTGTAGACACTGTCCTTGTACTCTTCATCAGATGAATCAGTACTATCATTCACATCTTGATTCTCCCAGGTTCTGATGATAGCAGGATAAGTACTCCCAATGATTTCCACATGGCTGCAATCCTCAAGGGTCATTCTGTTACCAGCATTTGCAAGCTTTGAGATAGTCATTGCTGGTGGTGCCACTGATGCTGGTGGTGGTTTCTTCCTAGGTGAAGATGATGGTGCTGTAATGGTTGTGTTGATTGTGACTGATCTTTGTTTCCTTGGAGATGGTATGGTGAGTATAGGAGAAAAGAACAATAAAGTAGTGCTACCTTGAGGATGTTGTGCTGGTGTAGTCTCTTCTTGGTGGTGGTCAGCAGGAGTTGAAGGAGTATAACTGCCCAGCAGTAAAGAGGAGGCCAAAGCCAAAGTGGTTAATGGTGTTGGTGGAACACCTTCTATTCTTGGCTCAGTTAAGAATTGATTCACTTCAAATAATTCTTTTGCAACCAAATTCAGTTTCAAGTAGTGGAACAAGAAAAGTGATAGCTCTTCTTTCTGCTATTGCACCTTCATTGTAATGATCAATACTTGTCTACTTAGCCTAGGCAGATTGTAGAATCCACTAGCTGATTTCCAATTCTCCTGAATCACTCCTCTGAACTGTATCCAATGGCTGATCCCTACATCTGAGTTAAGATAAGACCAGCAGCAGTAATAGGTTACAAGCTGGTGCTCTATTACATCTACTAATTTGTTATACAATTTCTTGGGTGATTGCCCCTTTGTCATTGTATTCTTCAACCCGGAAGACCTTGCCACTGAGGAGGAGCAGCAGAAGAAGAGAAATATTAGCTCTTAGCACTGGTTTAATGAGTGTAACTGCAGTAATGTGTAGTACTAAAAGCTTTGAATTCACACCTTGTCTAAGTGAAAGTATCATGCTTTGATAACTTAAAGTGGGGAGGAATCTGACTTTTGCATAGAGGAATTAGTGTAGATAAAAATATCTGTCTGTTACATATATTATGTGGATATACATAAATGTATAATGATTTCTTGTCACACAAGACTTTATACTTGGTGTAGTAAACTTCATTAATCATAACCATAGTACTGCTGCCAGCTAAAATATTAGTAATTAATTGATTAATGGACAAAGTTTACGAAGGCTATTCAAAAAGGTTATCAATACTACTAGTATTAATTAATTTACTTCATTAGTTTTTTCAAAGTTAATTAATCCTGTTGGTGACACTTCCCTAAAGATAGAATCATCTATATCCCCAAAACAAGAAAAGCTCTTAGCAGAGGAATTACTAGTTGTGGCAGGCACATCCTCTGCACTGTTGACATGACATATGTGGTTGCTGTGCAAATTTGAAATATCCCATGATCAGGGGCTCTCCTGCGGGGGTGACGTGTTTGAGATTTGGACTGCACATGAAATGCAGTTTTTCCTTTTTCCTTGCTTTGTGATGAGAATAAAATTGGTTCACACCTCTCTAAATTATGACCCCTGCCACAAATACTTCTATCTATTAGTAGAACTACAAAAGTACGTATAGTACGTACATACTGTACATATCGCTACGACTTCTTTACTTAGTTACTCTAAAAACAAAAATGTACTGGAATATATATTTTTCCCAACCAGGCAACTGGTCTCAAGGAGGCATCAACGAATAGCTTGGGACTGGTGTGCACTTCTCGATCCGCGATCAAAAAAGACTTCCCTCTGAATCTGTGGAACAAAAATCTTCTGATTGATTGCAAATGATTGCGAATGGCTTCGCACTTGCATTCCTTCGACTCAAACATAGGAACAATTCGCACGGTCCAATCATACGTCGAAAGTGCATCACATTCAGCCTCTCCGAATATCATCCGAACATTTTTTGCTTACAATATCTAACAAGGTTCAAACAATGATATCAAAGAATTATCTTTCTATGTGGCTTCGATCTTCTAGAAGAGCTACCCTCTGGGGTAGTAAGACTGGAATGATAGAGAAGTACGGTGTCGGGTATGTCGCTCGCATGTTTTCTACCCAAGGATCATCTGGGAAAAATTTATTGACTAACGAAGAAGGGGTTCACCAAACGATGCGGTTATCGAAATCATGGAGGCAAAAACCCTTATTTCGTCGGCAAGGTGATGTCCGATTCAAGACAGGAATGGAAGCTGCCAATCTTTTGATCCGAGAAGCTAAACGCCGAGACTCGCATGAGCAGGACTATATTGAATCCGTTACTTCCATCATGCAGTGCCTGTCGCCCGTCTTTGATCGCAATCCGAAGCATGCATTTGTCGCTAAAACTTTGATTGAACCCGAGCGTTTTATTCAATTTCGTGTAGCCTGGATCGACGACGACGGCGTAAACCGACTGAATCGAGGGTTTCGCATGCAATATTCCTCGGCCTTGGGTCCCTATGCTGGAAGCCTGCACTTAGGATCCAACCTCACCCATAATGTAGCGCATTCGTTAGCATTTGATACTGTTTTTTCTAATGCAGTTACAGGCTTTCCTTTGGGAGCAGCTGTAGGGGGCAGCGACTTCGATCCACTTGACAAGTCAGAGTCGGAACTCCACAGGTTTTGCCAATCATATGCTACCGAATTGGCAAAATACATTGGCCCCGATCAAGATATTCCTTTCGTTGGAATGGGATGCGGAAAAGAGGAAATGGGATACATATATGGACAGTACAAACGGATTAAGCCCACTGGAAATTTCATGACCAATTCAAATATGTTGCAGGTAAGTGGTGTTAATCTGTGTAACTGAGAAACCGGTTTCAATCAACATCTACTCTTCTCATACAGAAACAATTTTGATTCTCTTTCCACTGGTGTGAACTCCCGCTGATTGCAATATTAGGCGCCTGGTTTCACCATCGCTCATTTTGCCAATCGCATGCTCCAAGATCGGGGTGATTCCTTGGAAGGAAAACGAGTCATGATTACAGGGTCGGGCCGTACTGCAAGGTCAGTTGCCAAAAAGCTGCTCGAATATGGTGCTATTCCTATCACAATGAGCGATGCAAGCGGGCATGTCTACGAACCAGACGGTATTCCCGAAGGAAAATTGGCCATGCTCAATAAAATTAAGGAAGAGCGTGGCGCCTTATTAGGTCGATACATAATTAGTTCGACAACTGCAGAATTCAACTACCCAGAAAATTTGTTTGATATTCCTTGCGATATCTGTATCCCTTGCGGTGCCATGAAAGAAATCGATGATGCTGAAGTGAAAGCCCTTGCCGATAATGGGTGCAAGTTCGTTATCGAGGGAGGCCACTCTTGCGTTACATCTTCGGCGCGAAAAGTCTTGAAGAAACGCGGTATTCTCTACGGACCCCACACAATGACTATGACTGGACCTGCAATTATTTATGGCCTTGGTAAAGACGCTACTGATGGTGATCTAAAAAGAGAAGTTGATCGTATCTATAATGAGGTCAAAATGACGGCAGCTGAGTTTAATTCCCATCGAGACTTGTATGCTGGATCGAATATTGCTGGATTTTTACGAGTTGCAAACAATATGATGCTCCATGGAGCTGTGTAGGCATAACGAAGAGCAACGACTTAATGGACTCGATGATTTATCTTTGAGAACAACGAAGAGTCAGTATAAAGAATACGACGGTTTATCTTTATAGAAGCAAAATGGAGCCCCTTGGACCTTCAAATCGAGAGAAAGGATTTCAGTAGTAGTAGTAGTAATAGCATCTACACGGCACGTTCAAGAACATATCTGAACAAGGCTCAACGTTATATACAGCCGGCCACTGAGGATTGAGAGTTCGCGCGATCTGTGCTAAGCTTCTTTTTTCTTTTGGGTTTGTGGGCCAGCCAATGAAGTCCGCTAAAGGAATAATCTAAGAGTGTTACTGTCTTGAACCGTAGTCTATTTGATACGCTTTCTGAGGAAGTTCAAAATGTAGGTGGGTGTTTGAAGACAAGCGATTCTCTCGTTTCTGGGTGTTTCACATGCAATTCACGTGCATGTAAACACATTACTTGGCCTTTGACCTTCGCGTATTCGTTGAGAGATAACTGCAAGTTAATCGATGCCCTATCCCGTATTAATTCATCCATCAAATCCTCCTCAAATCCTCCATTAGCTGAAGCTTCGCCGTAGATTCCGTAGGCTGGATCGCCAAGTATTGGGTGCCCAATCGATGCACAGTGAACGCGAAGTTGGTGTGTTCTCCCTGTTATTGGAGTGAGTTTTAGTCTCGTCACTGGGTAACGCTTTACTTCTCGTTGCTTTTCTTTTGCCCCACACAGGTTTTCATCAACTTCTGCATATCCATCACAATATACGTACTCTCTTTCGATGACCTCGAATAATGTTTTACTGGGTTTTGGCTTTTTCTTCACAATTTTCTTCCAACCAGCGTTTTTTAGATCCTTAACAACCTGTTGGGCCTCATGTTCACTCTTCGGCGTTGCAACACGCATAAATGGTGGAAACCGATGGTCTCGTTGTAGAGGAAGATCAATGCTCCCCCTCTCTACATCTGGATTTAAATGCCCACATACCACAGCTTCATAATATTTCATTACTCCATCTCGTTCACGAAATAAGGCTTGTAAGCTCAACAACGCTTTTTTCGTTTTTGCATACATTACGATCCCCGATGTATCCATATCCAGTCGATGGACAATCATGTGTTCTGGTTTCATTTGTGGATCCATTTCGTGCTCGTATTTCTTGTGAAGTAGTGTCAACATACTTGGATTTGAATTGATTCCTGGAACAGTAAGCACTCCTGACGGTTTGTTTACAACAACAATGTGTTTGTCGTTATATACGACTTGCAGTTGAGACTTAAGTAGTGGTGTAGATGCTCGTTTCGCTGCTTGAGTTTTTCTTAGTTGCCGTTGATATTGCAATACTGTCTCTGGTATTTCAATCTTTTGCTTCTTGAATTCATTTTCATCTCTATTTGAAGGAGACTGCATTACTTTCTCAAAATTATTAGGAGAATCACAATTATTGCAAAAATCCCCATCCATCCTTTTCGTCTTCCCATCAGACAGAGTCAAAGTAGGTATCATAGATATTTTCATAAAACCGTTGTCTATTACGACAGAATATCTATTTTCATCTTTGGTCTTTATGTTGGGAGACATCTCGCCCAATTGCTGACTTGCTGACGCTGCAAAGCAGTCTTTGTTCCGTAATCTTTGACTCCCCGCCTTTCGAATCATTGGTATCGAATTTGTTTTCAAGCTAGGGGCCCTTGTCGTTTCCAACGATCCGTCATCAAATGCCTGTTCCACTCTGCTGGATTTGTAGTCAGTGGACTTAATTATCGGTTCTCCACTGATTGAATGAATATTTCCAAACCATTTCTTCGCAGTGTAGAAGTGATTTGTTCTAGGCAAGACTCTTCTGCTTTGCGTCGTCGTCCTAGCGGTAGTGGTCAGTGACAGGTGTGATAACTTTGGTATGTTCAACAGTAAGCGTGTCGTAGATTTAGATGAAGGAGCAATATTGTTGGATGTTCCCAATGAAATTCCAGACCTGCATAAGAGTACAGGTGGTGATATTGATACTAGTGGTGCGAATAACTTTCTTGCCATAGGATTCCCTCGTACTTATACAGTACCACAGTGACGCTTCAACTGTTCTCAGAGATCGTTGAATGCAGAATCATTTACTGCCTTGTTTCTCTTGAAAGTATTACGAAATTCATGGCAAGTGAAGCTCTTTAAAATACAGTGCAGAAAGGAAAATAGGAGGAAATACGAAATACAGCACTGTAATACTGTACGTTCACACGATACCGTACGGTACGTACGTACGTACTCGTTCAATGAGACGAAAATGAAATGATTTTTTGATACTGTATTGATACCGTAACTTTTTCTACCAGTAGGAATTGGGGTCGGGGTTGGGGTTGGGCCAAAATACGATTATTACAGTATTCCTAATCTACCGGTATTCTATTGTATTTGTTTTCAGTTCAGGTCTATCGACCACGTTCTGTACTAGATAGCATCCTTCGCATCTCGTTCTCCAAAAGAAAATGGAATAAGGCCCTGGGCCAACCGCCGCATCAATCACATAAAAAAGACAACAAATGGAACCAATAGAGGACCAACACTGTTACACACACGACAATATTTCGACTATGCAGACCAAGGGCGATGATCTTGACAAAATCAATATTCGTATGAAAGATGATGGTACAAAAAGTGGCATTTGCACCTGTGGTGGAATGTCTTCGTCTGACATGATGACGACGGTGGCGATGGACGAAAAATTGAAAACCGCCAATAGCAGTGGCAGTGGAATCGGCGAAAACAATGAAGAATTAGGAGCTATACATTTTGAAGGCGCGAAAAAGAGCCCAGTTTGGCTCGAATCATTCTTCGTGAATCTCATGACACGCCGGAACATCCGAACCTCCAAAGATTACAAAGAACGTCACCATCAACAGCTTTCGCAACACGGTTTCTTAGAGCGACACCAACACCTATTGAAACTATTAGAAGTTGCATATAATGCCAATTCGGATGACATTGATCATCACAAAAATGAAAACCATGGCAAATGCGATGCGATGGTCGAACTGTGCGTTGAGTGTATCGATCGTGTTGAGGCAGCACTGGAAGCTGACACGCAACGTATGTATGCTGAAATTGAGGTCTATCAGAAAGCCGTTCACGTTGCAAAGAATAAGACTAAATCGTTACAGAAAACGACAGAAGGTGTTGTTGGCGCTGGCATCGCCAAGGCAACTATGGGAGAGGATCCAACTGAAGATCAGGCGCACGGGAAAAATAACATAGCTATTGAAGAAGCCTATCGACATGAAATTTCCATGCTGGAACAAGAGGCTCAAACTCGATGCGACGAACTACTCCATTACAAAAATATTCATAAGGAGCAGACAACCATCACTCGTGAACTTGATTTATTTGAAGAGGCAATTCAATTGGAACAAAATTCCCTTGAGTTGCAATCGCAAGCATTTGATAACCGTCGGCAGATCCTTACAAAAACGCTTTCGGAAGTCCAAAATGAGGTCGATAGACTTACATGTGTATCGCTACCTCGAGTCTTGTTCGACTTACAAGTAGATCAAGTACGAGGACTACACTATCCTTTGATAAATCAACTTCGACTCGCTTTTCGACCAAAAGGAGATGTGCCCGCACAAGAAATCCAAGTGGCTTGGTCACAAGCAACGCAGCTGCTCTTGGTGTTGGGAAATCTCCTTGACTATCCCAGCTCGGATTGGAAATTGGTACCTCTCGCAGATTGCGCCAAACTCATTTATCGCAAAGAAATTTTCAATCTGGAGCCGGGTGATTGTCGTAGCCTGATGGCTTGGAACGCACTTTTGGACCAAATCGTGAAACATGCTTTATCAATAACGGTCGGAGGTGGAAACAAGGTAAATCTCAATTCTGTTTCTACAGATATTTATGACCAAGACAGCACGAGTACGAGCACGAATGCAAAGCCTCCCTACATTAGCTCGCCCACGATGATCGGAAATACAGAATTAGCCCGACTAGATCCGATTGACCACGTTAGTTGGTCGCAGGTTATACACCGGATGGCTTCCAACCTCCTTTGGTTGTCCAATCGAGCAAGCGCTTTGGCAGCTACACAAGTCGGTAGCATAGTGCATTGTGTCGTCTAGAGAGTGGCGCTCAAGAGAAGACAGAGTTGTGGTACGCGAGGCTTTGAGCAAAATAAAATGGCATATGAATGTATTATAACATTCTATTCAAGTTCTGACTATTGGAAGAGTTCAAAGAGCTAACCTGTATAGGAAAGTTCTCCGATCCAGCTAACGCTACTTTTACATTTCCAATTCGTGGTCACATGCTGTAGTGTATCCCCTTCCTTGGAATCTGATCAACTATGAAATGTCAATCTTTTTGAGGGAGGGTTAATTTTATGCTTCTTCCTACTAATGTCTGTATGAGAAGAAGAGCTACTGCGAAGAATCACCAGTTAGGGCAACCTTAAAGAATAAATAATTACAAAATAACTAGTCACCCTGAAACTTTTTGTTAGTTTTGGCCACTCAGTTCGTATTTTCTTGTATTGATTAGATTAGTAAATCGTAAAACGTTCCAGTACTTCACTTCATATGTACTGTACATGGCAAAGGTAATAAGAAAACAAAGAATGACTGCTTCATTCAAGATTCTACTTCTGATTTCTACCTTGTAGAATACTCGAGATAGGTACTTGTACGTAACTGCGTCCAGGGGTCATAACTTTAGAGGGGTGCACAACACATCAAAAACTCATATTCTTCCCATCTGTGGCAGGAATAAAAAAATTAAAAACACCAGGGATTTTTTCAATTTCATTTTTACTGCTGCATAATACTAGTAAAACTATCCAACCTTTAAGCAGTTACAATATTATCAAAAATGCTACAACCAGAATTTTTGAGTACTCTGTCTGACCCAATTTTTCATGAGGATTCTGAATATGCCAATGTTTTAAATATCAAATGGAATGCTAGTGTACCTTTTCAATGTTGAATATTGACTATTACATTATTAGTAGAAATTACCACTGGGGAATTAGTGGGAGAAACGGATGAAGGACAGATAGTTCAAATTTTTGCTAAGGACTAGACTGGTGGGACTGACTGGACAAAGAGGAACAGACTATTTCTACTGCAAATACAGTACTAGTATGTATTAGTCTGTTACTACCACCAGCCCTGTGTCAGCACCTTAAATTTTGAACTGCAGAGAGCAATAACAGTGAAAATATACTTACTACTTGACTCTCAAATACATGAGAGATGTGCATGTGAAGTTTGAAAATTAAAGAGTGATTGGGAGTGTTCCTTTGCATGGGGTCTTCCTGGTACACTTTTTGCAGTGATATGCAGTAAAAATGAAAATAAAAAAATCTCTGGGGTTAAAATTTTCTCATTCCTGCCACGGATGGAATAGGATTTTTTGGTCCTGATGCTGAAAAACATGTGTGTCGTACAACCCTCTAAATTTATGACCCCTGCCTGCGTCTGAGTAACTCGTACTGTACTTGATTCAGATGCCCAATTTTCAGATTCAGGTATTCTGGTGGCCTTAACCCTAATTTTGCTTTTGTCTCAAGATTTTATGAAGTTGTTTTGGCTTCTAGTACACTGCAAATGAACAAGTGCTCCATAGTATCCATATACATGTATTAATCAATATCACTCAGACCCCCCACTTCCCCAAACAATTAGAATCATCTATTTATTAGTAGGAACAAATAGGGATGATTATTGCTTTCAAGGGCTAGTTGGCCACCAAGATAAAGCACAAACTTTCACCAGTTCAACAAGATTAAAACAGCAGTTATATTGTTTACAAACACAGTGGGCAGATTTTGGGGCATCTTTTTACTACTGTGTGGTAATGATGCATGGGATTAAGAGAAATGTCCAGTAGTGGTGGCATTTGTTGAAGCAAAAGTCAAAAATCAACAGTTGGAGGATGTACGTGCAAATTTCAGCTCACTTAACTTGTAGGATTCAAAATAATAAGCACGCACTTAGTTTTTTTGTCAAAGTAGTCATTGCACAAAGAATAGGGCCCAAAATCTACAACTGCATTGTAGATTGGGTGACAACCTGCCCTATATGATAGCAAGCATTGAAAGCCACAAAAGCTGTAAACTGAACTGGTGGTGTAAGAGGAATGTAGTACTAGTAGGAGAATATTTTGTACATAGTACACCATTACTAGAAGTGTCTGTGCAGCAACAGGCAAATTGGTTGCTTGCCATCTCTTCCCCAAGTGTCCATCAAAGAATACTGGTAGCCTATCTTCTTGCGTATGGCACTACCTTAGCAGTTGTTCACTGTTGGTCAATGAAGGGAAGCACTGGGTGAAAGTATTGGTGGTATTAGCAGTGGAAGTACTAGAAGTAACATTTTGAATGCTCCTGTAACTTTTCTAATAAACTCTGGTATAATAGGACAGGGAGGTGCTTTTGGCATTAGGTAGGAAAGATTCAGCATCAGGGAAATTAGAGTGGTTTTCTTGGTGGTTAGACAAGTTTGGAAATAGAGAGAAAACACCTGTCTTACTCCCTGTGTCAGTCTTGCTTGGTGCAAGGTCTGCTTTTGGAAAATAGGATGATCATTGAGATCTTTATTGTATTGCTCCCATAGATGAGTAGTCTACAAGCACAAAAATTATCACCCAAGGATATTTCAAAACCACTGGGAACAAGACCTAGAACAGAAACTGAACCTGAGATCTAATGCTGGGTAAGATGACCCATAAAAAGATGGTGTCACCCTATTTCAGTTTGAAAGTGAATGGACAGGAGACTGCAAGAAGGGTCCTTTTCTGGAGTGACACTTCTTGCCATTTTGAACCAATTGCTGAAGCAGCAAGCTAAGGTCTCAGTTGCAATAGATATAAAGTAATATCCATTAGACATTGAGGGACGACTACTTTTTCTTGAACACAAAAACACCACAACAAAATGCCAGAAAATGCTATTAAATGTTACATAGCACCATTTAGAAATTGTTATCAGAAGGATGATCCCTCGATGGAAACTAACCGCACCAAGCACTCATACAATTGTAATCTTTCGCAACTCTCACGACCTATTCAAAAATGATAATCTCTATCAACTGTTTTCCACTCTCGAGACCTTGCCCGGATAAAACTGAATATGCCACAGTAGCAAAACTGTTATGAAGAGCTTTGATCAATGTGTTATTTATGCTTTTGTTTTGACAATCGAGCTATTTCAGTTACTCACTGTGCGCCGGAACATTCTGCAACAAACTCATCAATGGTATCAATCATGGCTTCTTGGTCAAAATCTCCTGTGAAGACACAATTTCCCAGAGCTCCCTTCAGAAGAATCAATCGCAACTGACCGTTGGCTACCTTTTTGTCGGCCGCCATATATTTCAAGAAGATTTCTCGATTCATGGGGGAATCAAGAGGTAAGTCGGTGGGAAGTTTAGCTTTTTCTAGCAATTTGTAGGTTCGCTTTACCAATTCATTATCGATCCATCCCATTTGGGCGCTCATCGTCGTCGCCATGGCCGTACCAATCGCAACAGCTTCTCCGTGCAGCCATGTTCCGTAACCAGATCCACTTTCAATGGCATGTCCAAATGTATGACCTAGATTCAGCGTGGCGCGAACACCTGCCTCCTTTTCGTCTGCCTTGACAACTTCGGCCTTGTTTTCGCATGAGCGTTTTACGGCATGGCGAGTTGCTTCCGGGTCTCGGTTCAACAGTTTTTCCATGTTCACTTCCAACCACTCAAAAAGATCTCTATCGCGAATCAACCCGTACTTAATAATTTCGGCGATACCACTTTGCAGTTCCCGATCTGGAAGGGTTGATAGGGAGTCGGTATCGATGAAAACACACTGCGGTTGATGGAAGGCACCAACCATGTTCTTACCAAGTGGATGGTTCACGCCCGTTTTACCACCCACGCTGCTATCCGTCATGGCCATAACGGTGGTGGGAATTTGAACGAAGTCAACGCCCCGTTGATATATGGCTGCTGCAAATCCAACCATGTCACCGATGACCCCACCGCCCAACGCAATGAGTGTGCATTTCCGATCCAATTTTTCCTCGAGGGCTTTGTCGAGGATCAATTGCAAGATTTCTAGATTTTTGTTTGATTCACCGTCGGGCAAGACAAGGGTGTGCACTTCTTTATGCGGGGCCAACAGCTTCTCGTATTTTTCCAGGAAGCCCATAGGGGCGATCTTGTCATTGGTGATTATCAGAGCTTGTTTGCCGTGGATGTGAGAAGTCAGGGTTTCGCTGATTTGTTCGTCGGTGAAGGACGTTCCAATATAAATGGGGTAGTCCCGTCCATCTGTCAAATCTACCTTCACAACGTCATAGTTGTCGTCATCTTTTGTCTCTTCGTGTTGGTCGATTCTGGCGCCATTGGTCGCTGTCATCTGAAGCGAAGAAGTCGCAACGCTGAGTGAGCCACGTGAAAGCACGGTGCTTGTACCCCCGACAAGAAAGGCAGAAATTGGTGGCGTAAGTAGAAGGAAATAGGATGCAGCTACCATCAATGCGGCCGGCATTGATACCAAGCGCTGTGACAATTGCCGGTGTTGCTGGATCATGATGGTGGTGGTGGTGGTGGTGGTGTGCTTGTGAATATTATCGAAATCTCAACTAACGCAAAAATTGTTGAAGGCAGCGAAATAATACCGATAGAACAAGTAGAAAGTATTTTGGTGGATCAAAAAACGTTTGCTTTTCAGCATCACTACTGTATTGTACCGGTGGCTACCGTACGTACCTTAAAGTACGTAAGCAACCCTTGCAGTGATATAGTTGTACAGTAACTCATTCCTTATGGCAATTGAAGGATTACGATAACATTCCGTACTCCGTACGGTAGTAGAAGTACTTGGTTTGTACGAGGTACTCCTACATACTGTAATAGTCGCCCGATACAGTATGACCCCTGACGTACAGTACGTACTGTACAGTATGATGTTGTGAAAAGAATTGTTCTTCATACTACCGGTACGTAAGGTAAAGTAGTGCAGTACAACGGACAGAGCTACAGTATCACTCGTAGGGAGAAAATTTACACGTGTACGGTAGTAGTAAGACTCAAAGAAATAAATTATGGGACGAAAACCGTTCCTTTCTACCATACTAGAGCCATGGCAAGCCCCATAGTGGCGAGTTATTGGCAATTCCCCTACGAACAGTAACAGACATTTTTAGCTCATTTTTACAGGGCCCTCCGGTACCCACGCGCACATCCCCCTTTTCGAATTCCTCCCCTAGAAAAACGTGGGTTATTTTTTGGGAAAAAATACCCACGTTTTAGAAACGT